TTGTATGGGACACCCGCCGTCGACTGTTCCCTCCTTTCGTGTATCTATCCCAACACTCCTTTCATTGTAATGCGCGATCCTATATACCAGAATGAATAGCAGCATTGCGGCTATCTCCCAAGTGTGATTATATGTATATTGCAGACGATAAGTAATATTACCTAAAACGAATGCCACCCTGGTGCCTGCCATGCGGGCGCTCTCTCACCAACACCCTGTACATACGAGACCCATATGCTATCCATACAGTGGCCTATATAGACATCATATGGGCTGGACTGTATGACACCGGTAAGAGCTGACTTCATATGGTCTCGGTATCCGGACCAGATATGGATCTGATATCATTCCGGATACCGTCCCGGGGTCGCCAGCCCATATGTATGACAGGTCGGGATCACCCCGAGGTGTAGTTGTTGCCGCGGCGCGTCCGGCTCATTCTCCGCGGATCCCTTCGCTCCTGCGTGAGATACATTGAAGAAATGGCATCAAGACAGTCTAGTCAAGTAACAAGGGTTATGTCAATTCCGGCGAGTTGTTTACAATGGGATCTTCTAATCGCAGTGCTGATGCTCGAAAAGAACAGCTTCTTGTCGTGCGCGAGCGGGGCAACTTCTCGACCGGATGATCGCATGTAGTAGTGATATAAAGAAGAAGCACGGTGGCTCACTTGAAGGACTACGCTGCTCTTAGAAGACCATGCCGCACCCCAGACTTGGTGTGGTCACCAGTAACACCAACAGGCCTCCGACTTGCATCTAGACTGTATCGTCAACACGATAAGGCCTCAAAGCAGGGAAGTAGCTTGTAATTTTTCGTGGGGCACTGCACTTGTGCACGGCAAATATGTTCGTCGCCGGTGCCGATGAAGGGTTGCAGACATGTAGACTACAGAAGTACGATATGTAGTGCAGGTGGAAACCCGCGCACATGACGTCGTCTAGCGGCCATGAAGCTCTCACGAACATGAAGGTATATATGATAACACTCGTGGTTGTCGTAATATGTAGCTGCTGCCTTTCGACTCATTTCACCCCAGTAGGATGCAGAATCATCTCAAGTACAAGTACTCCGCGTGGATCAACCTCTTGGTAAACATGTTACCTCCGACAGGTGCCGGTGAGCGTTGCGATCGCGATGACTCTCACTCGCTCACGCTATGCTCTGCTATAAACTGGCGATACCCATTCACTTGCAAGCACCCATTCCCACACGCGAAACGAGGCGAATTCGTTATCAGTTCGGGTATGAGAGCATGCCTCGTTTGAACTTCTGGAAGGGCATTTGCCGGAAGGCGTGTCCATTCTGCACTAGGTATTCTGAACAGCCGATCAGATGAGAGTGCGCATCCCACGGACCTGCAGGCAGGACGTCCGTGACCTACGCATGTTGGAAGCCGCTCTGGGCATTCGGCTGACGTCAACACGCATTGTTAGTAATATATAGTATCCCATAACGCAGCACTAAAGCATACCGAACCTCCCTCCCCAGATATTGCAATCGCTAACAGGACATTCCGAGAGCATGCTCAGCTCAGCAATCCTTCAAGCAGTCTTGATCTGTGGCTCCACATTATTCCTTTGGCGGCTCTTCCGGCAGCTTCTGGTGAAGAGCGACCTGGACAACATCCCTGGGCTTCCTTCTCCCTCTTACTTATACGGTGAATTCTGCCGGTGTGATCAGCTCCTTCCAGATCTCATGGCCCCACCTTGTAGGTCACGTTCAGCAACTTCGCGATAAACAGGGATGGGCTTTCTATCGAGAGCTGGCCGAGAAGTACCCTGCGGTTGCACGCCTTTCTGGGCCCCTTGGAGTAAGCATGCACTCGCTCTATCCATCTAATTCCTGACATTGTGGGATGTCTTCGGTTGTTAGCGCAAGTTGCTGTTCGTGCACGATCCCAAAGCCATGCATTACATCGCAGTCAAGGAGCAGGAAACTTTCCAAGAAGCAGAGTGGTTCACGAGGTGCGTCACGGCCCCTGCAATTTCTCAAGGATACTACAGCCTTGTTGCTAAATCGCGATTCGCCCTTAGTCTGACGAACCGCGCCTTTGGCCCTGGCCTTCTTGCGACGCAAGGTGCGCCTCTACACTCATGTCCTCATCACCGCGAGGAGTTTGTCGGTTGATCACTCCAGATGTATTTCACAGGTGATCATCACCGCAAGCAGCGCAAGCTTCTAAACCCGGTATTTTCCATTAACCACATGCGCCATATGATGCCAACCTTTTATCATGTCACCCACAAGGTCAGCTCGACTTCCCAGCTTCCCAGTTCATGATCATGTTGACAAGCTAACTCTCCTTATCTCTCTTGTAGCTCCACGAAGCAATTGAGCAGCGTGTAGTCCAGGGGCCCACAGAAGTCGACATGGTAATGTGGATGGGCCGTACTGCGCTGGAGTTGGTCGGTCAGGCTGGGCTTGGCTACTCTTTTGATAAGCTCACCGAGGAATCCGCCGACGAGTTTGGTGAGGCGCTGAAGTCCATGGCGTTAGTCATCCACATCATCTTCAGTTGAATGGCACCTGATATTGAGACTGATTCGCAGACCTACGATGGCGACCCTAGGCGTCTTCCTCCAATTTTTACCACTTGTCGAAGCTCTCATCCCAGAGTGCTTGTTGGAGCCCCTTGGCAAGATCGCTCCGATCCCAGGACTCAGGGATATCATGCATATCTCGAAGACGTTGAAGCAAAAGTCGACGGAGATCTTCATGCAGAAGAAGACGGCGCTGTTGCAAGGGGATGAGGCACTTGCTATGCAAGTCGGTGAGGGGAAAGACATTATGAGCGTTCTCTGTAAGTGCTTTACTTTCGACATATGATGTTGAGCTGATCGCATTGCGTAGTGAGGGCTAATATGACTGCTGCTGTTGAGGATAGGCTGGATGAGCGGGAGCTTATCGGGCAGATGTCGTATGTGTCCCACTCCACCTGTCGGTATTGCATTACGGATTGCATGCTCACGATGTTGCTCAGGACAATTACTTTCGCTGCTATGGACACCACATCAAACGCGCTTTCTATCACACTTTGGCGTCTTGCTCAAAACCAGCAAGTACAGGATCGGGTTAGGCAAGAGATCTTCGCGGCGCGAGACTCGCAGGGCGGGAAGGATATTCCTTATGACGACCTCGTCTCGCTTCCGTTCTTGGACGCGATCTGTCGCGAGACTCTCCGAGTGTAGGCCTTCCAATTCATCCGCACAGGTTCCTCGCGCCAACATGTGTTGACACACCCATTTGCTTAGGCACGTTCCAGCTCCAATGCGATTCCGCGAGTGTGTCCACGGTTTCACTGCATCATCTCATGGTCCGTGCTGATCCTTGTTCTGCTTTGTAGGGCTCGCAAAGACAGTGTCCTTCCCCTCTCCGAACCCATTCGGGGTCTGGATGGGAAGCTGATGCACGAGATCTTCGTGCCGAAGGACACTCACGTCTTCGTCAGCATCAACGCGTCGAACACGAATCCGGCCATATGGGGTCCTGACGCTCATGAGTGGAAGCCGGAGCGTTGGCTCAGCCCGCTCCCTGAAACGGTGTCCAACGCAAATATGCCCGGAGTGTACTCTAACCTGTAAGCCTAAACCTTCGACTCTAGCGAAAGTTGCTAGGGCTCATTTCGTGGTTAGGATGACGTTCTGGGCCGGTGGTCGGGCTTGCATGTAGGTGTCCTCATTTGCCATGGCCGAGGAGGTGTGGATGCTGAGGACCTTTTCGCAGCGGCTTCAAGTTCTCTCAACTTGAAATGAGTGCGTCTCGTGTCTGTGAATCTTGCGCAGGCTAAGCTAACTGAAGGATCGGCAGAGGTCGTCCTCGCGGTGCTCTTGTCCACATTCAAATTTGAGTTGACGGAGAAGGCGATCTATTGGAATATTGCACCCATCGTGTACCCTTCGGTCGTGCCCGATGGAAGCAAGCCAGAGTTGCCTATCAAGGTTACATTACTTGACCGTGATGTGACCGAAGCCTGATCCTAACAGTAAGTACATCCATAACGTCTAGGCAGCGATGATTTAGATGAAGAGATTAGCCTAGACACACTAATTAGGGCTACTACATACGGGTTTGGAAGCCGGACGCGGTCAGATCACTATCAGGCCTGACGGCTATTTTTGGTTGACCTTTGTGACACGCTGTACAATCAGTGCTTAAGCATATGAACTTTGCAAAAAGCATGATACAGCATCTACCACAAGGGGCCTTCGATACCACAAGCCACTGAACACAGTATTCACTTCCCTCCTGAAAGCATCCTTCGGAAGTCATCCTGGCCCTTGCTCGCCCCTCCATTTGCAGGTGAAGGTGTCGATGCACTCGAGCCCGGGTCGGCGGCAGAGCGAGACACCTGTCCCGTTCCTAGACCACGTTGTTTGCTTCCTAGTCCCGCACGCGGTCGAGACACAGCAGCGCGAGGCACAAAGAGCCCAGTGTTTGCTGCAGGCGGCGCCAGCGGACGAGCAGTGCGCGGCCCTGTCGTACTCTCCGCCACAATTTGCAGAGTGTTGCCATCAAAGACGATCGAATCTGGTCGGAGCAGTAACTTGCCTGCTTCCTGAACATTGACAGCGAACGTCAGCACAACGCTTAACCTGATGCATGTAGCGAAAACATACCGCAGCATCCTCAAGCTCAACATCTGCCTCGTTGAGATCTTGGAACACCTCCACTCGCTTGACTCGCGCATGCTTCTCAAGCGCTTGCTGCAACAAGCCCTCCTGCGTGTTGGGCGGGAGGTTGCGAACCCGTACGGATCGATTCCGCACTTCCGCACGATATCCGGGAGCTCTGCTCATGGCGTTCGTTAGTCATGATATATCTACGGGAGTAGAATCAGGACACCCACTTGTTCTTCGCGCGCACGCGGCTGTCCGCCAGAGTAACAGCCATACGACGCTGCTTGAGTTCGTGGTTATTGGCAGCAAGGGCGGCACGCGCATCGTTCTCGGTCTCAAACTCGACGAATGCGAAACCCTTTGAGCGACCTTTGTCGTCCAAGATCATGCGCACATCCTTGACGGTACCATACTATGTACTCTATCAGCTTAGTTTTCGATACTAGTACCAGCGACACATACCGTCTTGAATAGGTTCTCGAGATCTTCCTTCGTCACAAGTTTGCTGAGGCCCGCGACGTAGACCTCACGGTCGTCCGCATCACTGTCTGTGCGCTCTTTCCTTCGCTCAGGATTAGAGATAAACACAGACATTTTATGGCTTTCCTCGAGTTCCGTGCCGTTCAGCTCCAAAGCATGCTCAGCGGCAGTCTGGAAAACGTTGATCGGCATCCATAATCAATCAACCAATCGATGCAATCAAACATACAGGGGAAGTGAATTGGACATAGCAGAACCGCCGCGTGCTCTTGAACTTCTTGCTCGGCCACCGCACGTCGAAGATCTCGCCATACTGTATCGCAAACCCCTTTAGCGGATATGTTATCCCATGTGATACCCATCGCGCTGACCTTTCCGAACAACGTCCTAATGAACTTATCGTCCGCCTTCTCTGGGAAGTTCGTGACGTACAGCGTTGACTTCCACGCAAGGTGAACAGCCACCTCCTGGCCGCGGATTCGCTTCTTGTCCTTTGTGAGCGCCGCAGGGACGCTCTCCTTCAAAGCACCGTACGCGCTATCTCAGATCGAGAGTGATGGACAAGGTGGGATGACGTACTCGGTCCATGAACTCAACAGTGGCAACGAGAGAGTTCGGTAGCTGTGTAATTTTGATCTCACGGATGCTGCCGCACTGGCATGGGCGGTGAGCGCTTTGGTTGCTTCGTAGACTCCACAACAATCACTCACATCCTTGAATAATGTCCTCAATTCATCCTCCGTGACGCCAGCGGGCATTTCGGCGACAAACACCGTGCAATTTTCACGATCTCTGCGATGCGAGGATGGCGGTGAGTCAAGGAAGGCGGAACGCGACCAAGAGAACGCACCTCTTCAGCTTCGCTTGTTCCTCTGTATGGAGATATGGCGAGCGTATCGCTCAAAGACAATAACACGGTAACAGAATGGTGAAACTCACCAAGTCTAGCTTTCTTGGTAGGCTCCGGAGTGCCTTCGTCCTCTGCCTTCCTCTTTGCTGAAGCCTCCGCAGGCGCCCCCGAATCAACCTCCATAGCAGCAAGCGTGGGTGCTGTCTCTGCCTGCACGGGTAGCGCTGCCTCCGTCGCGGCCTGGGTCTCCGCAATCAACTGGGCGGCCGCCTCCTGTGCCTTCTGCGCCTCCTTAGCACGTCTATTGTTGACCTGCACCTGCGCGCGTTCGACGCGGTCGAGGGCGTCCTCGATCTGCTCGACGGTACCGTGCAGGTGCTCGAAGGCGATCCACGCTTCCCAAACGGCCTCGGGCCAGTCGAGGTTCTTATTGGCGACGTCCCGGAAGACCTTGCGTGCGTCATCGTACATGCGCCCCTTTCTGTGAAATAGAGCCATATGGATGAGCCAAAGTGATAGGACGCCAGCGGAGGTGCTTACGTCAGGGCTTCGGTGTAAGCAGTCCACACCAAATAGCTTGTCTTATAGAACCGGGTAGCATCCTCCCACATGACGAGCGCGTTCCCGGCTAATTCTTCGGTATCCAGGCACTATCGCACACATTAGCTATAACGTATACTAGCTGCACAGCCGTACGTACTACAGCAGAGAAGTACTTCTCCAACCTAAGCCTGGGGTCGCCGGCGGATGACGCTGAGGCGCTCAGTCACAAGACCATTCTTGTGCAAACAAATGTGATGCTTACCCTTGTGGGCCCTCGATATAGCATCAAGAAGGATCTGTAGCAGGGAATCATGGTCTAAGACGCTTCGGCGTTAGTGGCGATTTGCAGCGATACCGAAGAGGAGGGTCTGCGTACCGGTCTTCCCTGCTTCGATCTGGCGCTTTTCGAAGCCAGCGCGAGCCAGGACGCTCGGGATGAGCTGCTCGACGTCGGCTTGGAGAGGACCTATCGTCCGACCTCTCTCGTAAACCGCTGACAGTACGGTCGTTAGCAAGGATCTGCCGGTAAGATTATGCCCTCTTACCGTTGATCTCTCTGGCAGCTTCCTCGAATTCTAAGACGCGTTCCTACGCGACTTCTTCTCAGTAGGTTCTTAGATAGATAATCAAGATAGAACTCACCAAGTAGCGAATGTACCGCGCAAGAAATTCGCCAGACGTTGGCACACTTCTGAGGCCCCTCTGGAAGACGAGAAGCAGCTCGTCTTCCTCAACAGCTTGGGTTCGCTATGTACAGGGGACGGTCAAGATCTCTTAAATAATTACCATGAGGCGTGTGACTTACTAGGAGGTCAACGTAACCGATCCAGAACGAACGTAGTAGATTCTCCGCGTTGGCTTCGCCTGAAAACCTTCGCTTGTCGGCTTCAGCAATGGCTCGTTCGTAAAGCCCTTTCAGGACAAAGAGATCGGGCTTCTTGTTACGCTTCTCTGAGGCGATGTAGTACGCGTAACCCTCGAGAGAGTAGTTCGCTTTGACCTACGTTCCGATGAATGGTTACCTTCGCTATCATACTCCAGAAGACCTACAAGCGAGTTCTCATAGTTTTCACGACGTTGGAATCCCTTGACGGCCTGAGCTTTTGACTTGGACGCGTGCACTAACAGGGACTCATACTGGTCTGCGGGTTTGTAGTTGGTGGTGAATGAGGAGTATGTTTGGAATGTCTCTTCGTGATCTGCATGGCAGCATGAGCGGATTCACAGTCTGCAACACCATGATGCTGCTCACTTGAATGAGGCTGCTTGAGACGCTCCAGCAGCAACTGCTCAACAACACCTATGAGCACTTCCCTGGATATGCATTGCTCTGTTTCAGCGCCGACAGATAGATGATGGGGTACCGCAGCTCACCGCTCTTCTCCCGTCGCGTTTGAGAGGCGTTCAAGTTCCCAGTCTCGTTGCGCGTCAAAAAGGAGATGGCTCTGTTAAACTGCATCAGCTTGAATGCCGTTTCAGCCACAATGTTGATCAACCACCTTGGTCAAATGCTCAGCTCCTTGAGCCACGACTTTGGAGATAGAATCATGCATCCATTCCGGAGAGAACATTTCCCCGAGAGCGTCAGGTCTCCCGCCGGCCTCCACGAAATGTTCATGTCGCTCTACGAGGAAGTCAAGATGCTTCTGGAGTATAGGGATGGCTGTATGAAACTCAAAACGATGTTCAGACAATAACAAGGCAGTACTCACACAGGTAGTCTTGCTCGGCGCGCGAGAACAAGTCGAGGATGCTCTGTAAGTCCTCTGGGGTCTCCAAATTGCTCCCGGCTATCTTGTGCTCGATGAGAGGGAGCCAAACATAGTCCCCAGCAGCCCAAAACGCTGTCACCATCTCTAGTGCAGAGCCGGCCTGGCCGTCCATGCCTGTTGCGTGAGCGATGCGAATGTGTTCGGCATGAAGGGAGATGTCGTAGGGGTTCTCGGTAAGGCGTTCAAGAATGGCCGAGAGAGCCTCAAGGGAGTCGGCCTCGTTCATGTCCACGTCCATAGCTTGCAGAGAGCTAAGCAGACAGAGCAGTAAGGGTGGCCAGACGGAACGCCACCAGCGCGGACGACGTCAAGCAAGACGCATCCTATATGTACAAGTGCACGCGTGGCTGCGGACGGCGTCTACCCGTCGGGCGGCTCAGTAACCGGCGCGATAAGGGGTGCTCAATTCTTGTCGGTCGCTCGGTTGCTCGCGCGCCTATCGGGCGCCTGCCTCCCTGAATTCAATGTCAGCTCAAGCCTTTGCAGCACAGCGAGCAGAGGTGGGCCGGCAGCGGGTGCAGAGATCTCGACGGGATTGTCCCATGCTATATTTGTTAGGCCCGGGAAACCAGTCCAGCAAGTGAATGGTGACGTCGGGAGAGCTTATAAATTCGTTGACCTGGACTAATTGTACACAATGCGCCCAAATCAGAAACGTATTCAGCACGACATATGTACATACGGTTCAGCTGGGGGTGCCGCTCTGACTCCTCGATGGCAACTGGACTCAATCCTTGTGGGACGACTCCGCATATCGAGTCAAGGAACTCTCTAGCTTCTGTATTGTTAGATTTTCGCGTCGCTCTCTAGTTCCAGCTCGGGGACATCATGCGGTCGTGTTGCACCCGCTGCCTGTCCGTCTCTGCTCGCTGTGCCGCAGGCGCTTGAGCTGACCTTGAATTCAAGTAGGCAGGCGCCCTATAGGCGCGCGAGCAACTGAGCGACCGACAAGAATTGAGTACCCCTATAGGCGGAGGCACAAGAGAAGAGACCACGCTTGCGTTTTGCTCCTCCCATCATCTCTATTCTTTCTCTTCCTCTCGGGCTCTCGACGGCGGGCGAACCAGTCTTGGATATATCCGAGGCATCCATTCTCTTCTCACTTCACTCTTTTGCTTCATTCAAATACACCCACATCGACCCAAATGGCCCAGCCCGTCATCTACCGCACGCCGCCCCTCGCTGGCAGGCCTCCCTTCGCGACCGACGAACCCGACTCCGTCTATGACCAACGCCAGCAGCAGGACCAGACCCGCAGGATCAGACAGCCTGCACCCGCCAACCCGAACGACAGGACTTCAGCATACAATATGTGAGTAGTAGTCTTCCCCATGCTACGCTGGCGATCTCCTCGGACGAGCGCATTGGGACAGCAATCAACGGCCACTTACCGATGCACGGACATCTGTGATAACGGTCGAGATCTTTTACTTCTTCGGGCGACGTTCAATGAGGATCCACCGAGACCCATGAGACTGAGATGGCTCTTCGACGGTTCGTCGAGCGCGGTCTTAGTCTCGGTCTGCTTCGCATCTTTGGTCATGCTGATACGGTACACTGCTCTTCTGCTGTCAAGCGGATAGCGGCCCTCTATGGGCGCTGTACTGTCGTACGCCGTGAGCTCCCCAGGGAGCTGTTTCATTGGCGAGGAAAGCGAGGCTGATGGTGCTCGTCGCCGTGTGAGGCCTCCAGTACAACCTGGTTTATTTTTAGCCATTTGCCATGGGGTCTAGAACGCATGAGCACTGGCTTGCATGCTACGCGTATGCAGGTGCTGTGTTATCTTCTATGCCATGAAGAGATTGGAAATGCGAGTTGAAGATTGTGCTCGACCACTTCCAACTTCTCAGGAATGCCTTGCGCGTACGGATCGTTACAGCGCTGAGGACATCGACCCCCCATGCAGGATATGGACAGATTCTGGTGGCTGACATAACACTCATTTGCAGGTACGACCAGTATATAGATGAGAAGGAGAACCCTTTCGACGACAACAAGAGAATTCCTGAGCCGACTATTCCCCTCGCTGCACCGCGCCCTGGGTATGCCGCCCCTGTAGCTGCCCTCAACCTTGCGCGCCCCAGCCCCGTCGCCACCCCTGAGGGTCGCTTGCCGTCTTCTCCGGAGATGTCTCAATTTGGTGACAGCATGGTGAGCCAGGGGGGCATCCCAAATGCTCCTCATCCCCTTCAACCGCCTATGGTCCCCATTGCGCCTGTCTTTGCCCGCCCTTCCACCGCGACGTCTCGTGACGTCAAGTTCGCCGCCACGCCGATCATGCGCGGGGAGACCGAGGACACCGTTTTACGTCCGCGTGGCGCACAGGGCGACGATTTCTGGCGGAGGTTCAGCATGGTTGCGAAGGAGGATATGGCTACCCCTCCTGGTCAGAAACAGAGCATGTGGCTCCGCAAGACGCAAAACGGCACCACGCGTATGTCTCGTTGGGTTTGGTTTGTTGGCTTGATTCTCCTCCTTGTGAGTGCTTGTCTTCTTTCGTGATGCGGGAAATTTCGTTTAATTTGATTGTAGATCGTCGCCGGCGCCATTGGTCTTGGTTGGTGGGTCGCGCACAACAACACCACCCACACCGCGCCAAAGGCAATCGGCGGAAGCGCGGACGAGAAGTCCATCGAGTCTGCCTCCTCCGCCGCAGCCGCCCATCTGGCAACATCTTCCAGCACATCCTTGCATGTGTCACCGACTAACACGGTCGCGAGGCGCGCTGATGAGCCTATACCAACGTCTGTTGTATACCCCGTGCATGCTCGCAGCCCGAACTCGCACCATGTCCACGTCGTGCGGACGCACCATCGCGGCCGTCGCAGTAGCCCTGTGAAACGTAACACCACGTACTAACTTATTGGATCGGAAACACCCTCGAGGCCCCGCACCAGTACCCCCACCACCGACGCCCATACCCGTCTTCAGCCCGTGACTCCGCCTGGGATTGGTGTAACCAGCCCGGTCACCCACGTCCCGTCCGCTCGTTATGACCTATTACTGACATCCGCCCCCTCCCTTCGATCCACATCCCACGAGGTCTGCCATCTTCTATCCATCCATTTATGTCTCTCGTCATCGTCATCTCTCAACACACTTCTTGCAACCCACCATGGGAAGCTTTCACGAGTTGGATATTGATCTTGCGACGTTCCCTCACATATGCATTGCAGTGCCGCACAGGATTATCGCGCCGCTCTGTCCGTCCGTGCTATGATACCGCTTCGTGCTGCTTTCCGATCCTCCGTGCCACGATGCCTCTGTCATTTGCTGGAGCTGCTCTCATGTGTTACTGAGGCGATCTACCCCCCTAATGCTTCCGGCGCTTCGGTCTTCGTACTATCCATACTCGTTCGTGGGCACCTGCCTGCCGTGCTGTACCTACTACCTACCGAGACGCATTGTGGTATATACATAGCCCATATCTTAGCACAAGCTTGCGACCTAAGCCTTGATCGTTATCCTTCAACCCCTAGTCATGGTGAGTGTCTCGATAAGGCCATCTATGTAAGTATGTACTACTACTGGGCGTACTCAATTTTCAGGTCGCTGGCCCGTTGCTACCCAGGACGACCTAGCAACGGAGAGCCACCGTGACAAGGCAGTGCGGGCGAGCCCCACTTGCCGCTGCAAGTGTCCTAAGCCGTGCCGTAGGAGGCCGTGAGCGGAGTCCGAATAGAGCACGCTCCGTGTTGCGGCTCGGGCGTCTCACAAGCCAAATCGGGATGTCTATACTGCTTGATGTACCTTTCATCCGTCTTCTACCATGGATAGCCCCTATATCTGTAGTCTACTGTATGTACTATGGGTATTTGGGAGGATGGATTAGTCCACGTCACTAGTGCTTGTCACTCACACGAGCAGTAGCAGTTTGGTGACTATGAGGCTCAGTCATACCTCACGAGCTTGCATAACGAGAGCATCAGTCATTAGCGTGCACAAGTACACCGCGCGAAGCATGCACACTGAATA